GTCCTTCGCGGCCCGCTGCAGTCTCCACATGGTGTCTTCAGCAGCTGTCCTTCCCGGCCAGCTGCAGCCGGCGCCGCCCCGTCCTCAGCCGTCGACGTTGAGGACCGTCACGTGTATTACACGGCGACTGCAGCAGTCAATGGCGCTCCTCACCTCCCGCCTACGCAGGCGGTGCACGATTTTAAGCCGGCATTCCACCTGCAAACCAGACCTTTCCCAGAAATGCATCTGGTGATCACCACGGTGGAACAGCTCGACACGACGCCTACACCAGCAGGCCACGCCGGCCTACCAGTCACACTGGCCACATCCGTCACACGGGCCCAGCTGGCCATACCGTCCACACCGGCCACACCGGCCACAGCCGTCACACCTACCCCGTCTGCACGGTGGTCAAGGGACCATCCGGTCCTCCTCACGGCCAAGCCGGCCGAGGTGAATGAGTGCGATTACGCCCTGCCAGACTCTGTGGCCAACACCAACATGCTGCTTTCCTCGTCCTCACAGGTCTGCGCCATGGACATGCCGCGGCATGGATCATTCAGCTACCTGCCAGTCACAAGTGGCCGAATCGTCCACAGCAACCATGGCAACCCTGTCTGCCGCGGCACAGGCCGAACCGTCCACAGCGACCGTGGCAACCCAGTCTGCTGCGGCACAGGCCGAATCGGCCACAGCGACCGTGGCAACCCAGTCTGCCGCAGCACAGCCCGAATCGGCCACAGCGACCGTGGCAACCCAGTCCGCCGCGGCACAGCCCGAATCGGCCACAGCACGAGCTGAACCGAACACGTCATAGGACACTGGCCACAGCGACCCAATTGAATCAGACCGGCAGTCTGCACTTCCCCATGTGTGCCAACATACCCATAAGGTGCACATGCTGGACGTGTATTCGAGGGGGCAGTAATGTGCGTTGCAAATACTCCACGACACTAGCGGTAATCATCCAGGGCCGCAGAATTCGCCTTGGGTCGCAGGTAACTTGCAGAGTCCTGTCTTCCAAAGACGATTGCAGAGGATCTGCATCGCCATAGCACACCACTGAAACGTCCCGCACCGCCTCCCCCCCCCCCTCCCCGACCCCCAGCGCACTTTCTTGCACAGCCCAAGCGCACGACTGACACGTCCCGTACCGATGTCCCCCCCCCCTCCCCAGCGCACTCTCCGCTGTTGGACGTACCAAAACGTTTTCTTGTTCGAATATTTTCTTGAACGAAGGGTAGATTCCAATCTCCAAAAAGACTGAGGATTCCAGTAAATCACAAGCCAGGAACGCATCCTTGCTTTTCCGCTTTGTCTTCCCGCCGCAACTATATGCCTATTATTTCGATTAAGGCATGTTGCCGAAATGTCAACCAATCTATGTATCCATTCTCCTGGCTTTTCTCTGAGGACTAAGGCTATTACTACCGGCTTGTCGACGACCCTTGGAGGTGTTGGGTCCTAGTCGCCAGGCCAGTTCAGGTCAGGCCAGTGACGGTACCAGACGGAGAGCGAGCGCGCC